CTTGGGGTGAGGGAAGGATCTCTGCTTCAAAACACAAAAATTGCTTATGACTCATCTTTATTTTTCCAAATTTTAGGGAATATGGTGGAATTTCTTCTGTGAAAGCCAGAAGTTTCATTACAGCCTTTGGGGAAAATAAGTAAACGTTTCACAGAAAGAAAAATAAATGTTTCTGTCTGCTCCTGCTCAGAGGCACCCAAAGACAATTTCATTAGTGCTGGGTGCTGTCAGAGTTGGAGGGGAGGTGCTGCCATGAGACAAATTGCCCTGCAGCCCTTCAGACAGCTCAGCAGCCCTGCATGGACCACACAACACCCCACCAGCATTGTGGTACCCACACGGGTCTACCTCTTGTTCACTCCAGGGTGGCTGGCACAAGGCGGCCTGTGCTAGGCTCTCCATTTTAATGCTCAGTCAGCCCAAGTTCTTCTCACCCAAAACTGCAATGTGTGGGGACTTCTTGAAGCTGCCCATAAAGTAAACCCACAAGGTCCATCCCAGCTTGGCCTCAAGCATCTTTCTGGGTCACTTACTGCATGCTACACAAACACATGAATTTGCCCAATGACCAGTTCAACAAAGAACATGCTGAGGTGTGGGCTGTTAAATAAGGGTGATTCGTAAGAGCTGAAAACATGCTTGGCACAGCACAAGGCACTGAGGAGGACAAAGCCCAACCTCAGCGTGAAACTGTACCCGACTCCCGCGTGTGTTTGTACAAGGCAAGTGGCTCAGGAGGACAGTGTCACACTTTCATGTGTGTTTACACAGGGCCTAGCACAACAGAGTCCTAATCCAAGCCGGAGCTCCTAAGTATCACAGCAATGCAAATGAAATAACACTATTAATACGCTTTCCCCCTGTGCTTACCGGGTCAGGTTCAAGCAGAGCTGTCCTTGTTCGGAAGGGCCAGGGCTTTGCACCACACTGAGGTGGTTCTGGGCTCCCTCAGCACGGCCTGGCCGCCATCCCGCCTCCCGCTGTGAGATGAAACGCCTTAGCGTGGGCCCTAGAGGAAAGCTAATTTCATTTATCTTGTGTTTGCCCCAGCTGAAAGCGCGCGTGTGTGCAATTACCAGGGTTCAGCTAACGCTGGTATTTCAGTAAGCCACAGCAACTTGGCTGTGTCAGTGTATGGGTCCTTTTTTTAGAAAACAGATAAAATGGAGTTGGTAGAGAAAAGCCTTTTGCTGACGTTTGCTGAAAGTGCTTTCCCCAGTACTTTATAAAGTGGCCAGTAAAACTTTCTGTCACAAGATGTAATGAAAATTTTAGCACTTTTAGCAACCTGTTTCTGACTAGATCTGAAAAAGGACAAATTTCAGTCATTTCCATCTATTCTTTAATCTAACATTATTAAATGGCTCACGTCCCATAGGCAGCATACCGCATAGCAGGTAATCCTACAGACATAAAACTTGTAACCAAGTTCACCTCCTGCCATGAAAATATGCTGTAGTGAACAAAAGCTGAGGATCCATACGTGAATGCGGGCCTTACCCTTTCTAGATACAAGAGGCCAGAAAGAATTATTGAAATAATTAAATATGCACACCTACTTCATAAATCAAAAAAGACATTCCACTAGAAATCTGACCACTTGCTGAACTCAGCTGACAGGAGAACCATCTTTGCAAATAATAACATTGACAGCAAAACATAATTAGGTATGTTATCTGTCTGTAACATAGAAAACAATCCATCTAAAGCAAACGTGCAGCATTCAGATAATTGCATCCAACAGATGTCTTCAGTTAACTGCTCATATAAGGGGGATATCATTTGAGAAGAGGTGGCTCCAGACGCCATACGAAATTAGCATTGTACCTTTAAAGTCTGTAAAATTTTAAATATAGAAGTTTGAGAAGGGAAGCAGGATGGTCATTTTAAAAGCAACTTTTCTTATTCTTCTTTTTTAAGGTGAATGTTGAGAAAAATAAGCAGTATTAGAATAAAAGCATGTCCTTCAGTAGGACGTTTGGTGATAAATTCTGTACGTAAATGAGGCTCACACTCTCTTTCCTATTGTAATAGCATCCCCAGTGGCATTTGCTTCCCGGACTGTTCCCAGTGCCCTTCCTCAGCACCAGGAGAGGAGAAATGCAGTGTTTTTAATGACTGACACAGAAGCAATCTTGTTTTTGTGGCTGCATCACCTCTCCAGGACACAGTTCAGTAGGAGTTTGTCATGTGGCTGAGCAGAAGCGATGAATGCAGGTTTTATGAAGTTCATTCCCCAAATACAAAGGAACAGAGGGCTGGGGGGGAAAAAAAAAAAAAACAAAAAAAAAACCACCTCACCACATTGTATGGCTACAGGCTGCAACAGTATACAGTTGACAGCCTGAGCTCTACATTGATCACTGTCAAGCTCCTGGGCTACAATACACCTGAGATCACTCCTCAGCCCCAAGCAGCAAGCCTTTACCTGCACTCCTGCCTTAACCACAGCACCTCTCTCTCTCTAAGCACCTCCTGCTATCTCACCTCTCTTCTTCTCCCTCAAAGAGGTGGGGGCATTCAGTGCTTTAATGATTCCTGGTCCGGGGCTGCCAGTTAGTACCACTACCACCCACTCCCCCCAGATACACACACTTGTTTCCTCCCTGCTGCGCTGCACGCTGCCCGCCTTACCTCGGGCATTGCTTCATTTCCTGTTTGCTCCCACCAGTCACTCTGTGCCATTATGCAGGCTAATATCAAACGGGTGGAAGAGGTAAACACAAAAAAAAACAACCCAATGTGTCCTTCCTCTCCTCAATGGGCACGATGATATTGTCAGGAAATCAGTAACAGCTGCAGGTGCTAGAAATGAACTGTATGTATAAGAAAGTCTGGAGCCTGTGTTTTCAAAACATACATACAGACAATATTTACTGCAAACAGATTATTTTTAACAGGTGAGCACTACCACAAAGTCTCCTTCAGAAAGCACCCTGTGCACGTGCTGGCTCCCCAGGGAGGGAAGCAGCCAGGACAGCCCCCAACATGGAGGACAGAGCCAGACCCTACACTGCCAAGTATGGCACTACCACTTTCCAGGCTGCCTTATTCGCATCTCATTTCTCCTCACGGGATTTTGGGGCTTGGCTGCAGGAAGGGTGGTAGGACTGAGGAAAAGCAAATGCCATCCTGCTGTAGCAGATCCATACTTAAGTCAGTGTGTACCTTGGTCTGCTATGCCAGTCTGACCTGACCACATGAGGACCGAATGTTGGGCTAGGTTAGATGCTCAGGGAAGTAGTTTTGCTATTAACTAGATCATTTAGGTTGCAGACATCCATGCAAACATCACTGCAGGCATTCTTTTCGCTAGGAGAAAGGCAAGCAAAGCACAGCAATGGTAGGAGCTGTTGGCTTTACTTACTCTCAAGCCTGGGAAACAGTATCCCTGAGCCCATTTCATCAGCTTTCTTTTGGAAATCAGTACTATTGTTAACTGTCAGTAACTCACTCCATTTACCTGCTCACAGCTTCTCAGGAGGACACAGCAAAGCCTAAGCCGGCTAAGGTTACTGAATGATAACAGCAATTCTTAAGTCAAAGGGTATAAAGAGGCTCTCCCCAGACAGTGACAAGCTTTGGATTTCTTGCAGGGGCCGCTGATTGTGTCTGTGTCTGTTTGTGCCTGCTGGTTGTGAACTCTCCCCCTTCTCCTCCCCAGGTCTGGCTCCCCCCCCAGCCGGGTTGCGGTGAAGCTGGGAGGCTATGGGCACTCGGTGCTGATTAAATTCTGCTGACTGAGGAAGATGTCAAATTCTACCCAAAGCAGAGAGCCGCCAAGGAAAAGCTGCTTTTCTTTGCTTTTGACAGCTGGAGCCATGAATTTAAGTAGAGGTCTCACCTTCAGGCAAATCAACAGCTGGGCTGAGAGCAGGCTTTCTTAAAGAGAGAGCGCACCGCATTTTCTGGAGTTCAGTGCTACCAAGAGGTGAACGAGTGCACGAGAACATTTTGTAAGAAAAACAGGTGCAGCTGGGGTTTTGTTGTTGTATTTTTTTCCTTTTACTAGAGAAGGACCAAGTAACAAACAAGAAAGAGGAAATGAAAACACAGTCTTATTTCCCACCCTCAGTGTTTCTCTTCTTCCATTTCCCCTGTGAGTGCTTACAAAGGGAAGGCACAGCCTGTGTCTGTGCAGGAAGTTCCTGAGCCCTTTCCCTAAGAAGCCTCTGCACTGAGTCACATCTACTTTCATGTGTGTGTACCAGCCATGCTGGAGGAAGTGGTGGCTCTGCTGAGTGCAGAGGAGGAACTCATGCATGTGGGGCCAGGCTCCATGACACCTTATTTTCAGTGCCACGGGGAAGAAGCCAGAACCCTGAGGAGGTTCAGACCTCTTAGGAGGCAGGGCCAAGCACAGGTCTGAACTAAACATAGAGGGAAATATGCAGTACACAGCTACACAGCCACCATCACATAATTCATGAGTGCGTTATGTATTAGCAGGTGCAGTTAGCCAGAAGTGTGATGTGCACCTGCTATTGCCCTTTACTACACCTCCACCTCATCAGTAACTCCACAGATACTTAGAGAGTGCTCTGGCCACTAGACAAGAGATTTCAGGATACTTAAGTACTCCCAGCCCCTCTTGTTGAGGTGACAGCTTCAGGAAAGCATTAGAAATGAGTTGGACCAGAGGAAAAGTGGGTGACTCTGTTTAGTCTGCACTCACATGGTTAGGGACCTGCTGGGCTCCATATGCTGATTTCAGGGCTGCTCTTCATGCAGTAGCTGTTTATACCAATAACAGCCCTCAGGCAGGGTGAGGAAGCCGAATCTTCAGCTAAGCAAGTGCCCTCACCGGTAGGGATCATAGCCATGGCAACTCTTCCAACACAGCACATCCTGTTGTCTTCCCATTGCCTGCTGGAAGACTTACACAGGGAGATGTGTCCTACCACAGCCTCTTCTCTAATCATTAGAAGACATCCCAGAGAGCTGGAAAATGTGAATTTCAAGCTCTTCAGAAGGGAATTAAGTCTGTCTCCCCAGTAATTTGGGGATATGAAACAAGAGCAGGACAGCACTTCTCTTGATAAGGATGGAAGAAATCTTAATGGATTTAATCACATTAAATGGGGGAAGAAGAAAAAAGCAGCAGGGATCATCAATATCATGTGGAATCCAAGAAGGAAAAGGAGGGAAGGGCAGAGAGGACATAATTTTAGTTTCCAGATCTCTATTTACTTTTGATGTGGAATAGAAGTCACACTTGCCTGACCTGCAAGCACTGAAGTGCTGGTAAGCACATGTAGTAATAGAATTTTAAGAGTGCTTAAATAGGATTTTTTGATGTTAAGAGTTGAAGTACCTATTGAACACAGGTATTTGCAGAGTTAAGCAGCAGCTAAGTTCTCAGAATTGCAATTTAGGATGCAGGCACCAGAGCTCTGTCAGCTCCTAACCTAAATATAGACAGATAGGCATTATTTGGATTTAGTCCTAATTTTTTTTTCATCTTTGCTTTAGTTCCATCAGTGGTAAGAGAAGCAGAAACTCCTGAAGGTAAGTTGGTAAGTTATTGCAACTGAGTTTTCTTGTAACTATCTATTCTGCTATCACGACATAAGGGGTAGACAAAGTTCAGCTTTTGCCATCATTCCAACTAGCTACTATCTAAACCTTTGCTGTAACTTTTGCCAAATCTAAGTTTTTAAACGTGCAAGTTAAAGGACATTTAGAAAAGGAACTGAAGTTGTATTTCCTGCAGAATTGAAAAACAGGCTAGTTTCTTCTCTGCCTGAAAGCAAGAAGCATAAAAATCAGGTGCCATATTTCTTTCTTATTAGATTTTCTGCCCAATTTTACAGCCTCCTACTGATAAAGAGGGGTTCTGTTAGAACAGAAACTCGGAAAGGTAAATATTTTCCTGAATTTCATTTTTAAAATGCTTAAGGAGCACCACCTCAAATAGGAAAGATGCTGGGTACAGCTGAAACCAGTCAAAGATGTGAAACAAAACAGCCCCGTTTGTCGCGAGCAGTGCAGCAGGGACTGAAAGCCTTGTGATTTCAGAAGAGAAACTTAACCATCAGCACATCGTGACATTTCTGGTGTGATGCATTATGATGTGTGGGTGGATTGCCATGCCACATGTTGTTATTTCAATGCATTATCACCATCAGGGCTCTCTGAAGCGTTGCTGTGTTTCAGCAGAACATCATTATCTTCTGCAGCAGCTTCAGCTCAGCAAATCCTACCAGGTTCACAGATAATCGACACAAAAAAAAAATCCAACTTTGCCTAAATTTGCATCTTAATGTTTCAGAAAACTAGATAACTGGAAGTAATTTCAAAGCAAATGATTTCAAAATATAGTTTACATACACATGCATACGGGAAGCTTGATTCTCACTTCAGTCATTTCAGGGAAGGGAAACATGCCTTGTTAGTTTTGCAAACAATCACGCAGTTTCAATTTCAGATAATAATTGTAATTAAAGAATATACTAGAGAGAATTGTAATGCACAATTTGATTCCAAAAAGACAGAACTTTTAAATAATGAATTATGAATTCTTCTTCTAACTCCTGCCTACCTTTTGGGCACAAGGAATGATCCCACTGCACATTTTTGTCAAGAACGGATGAAAATAACAGGATTAGCTTATGAAAAAATACATCTGATCTTGAAAATACTCTGGTAAATATCAGCTATTCCTTCCAAACACAAAGCTTTGAACTAGCACTGATGGAAATCATAACACAGAAGCTTACCCTACCACACTGAAACTGCAGGGCATACAATGCACAAGTTAGCTGAATTAAAAAGAGAACCCAGAATATTTAGTCTGCAGTAATAAAAGCTAGGATCTGTTAAGCACGGCTGTGTGTGTATCAGTTGGATAGCAGCTTCCCACACAGTCCATGTCCTGGAACTGTGCTCAGATTATTTCGCAATGTGAAGGACCTCTGTGTTCCTATTACCAGGAAATAGTTAATATTCTTTCCCACTGGGGCCCACACGCACCTGCACAACTGTGGTGTGTGGTTTCTTCTTGCAGCTGCATCTGTGACTCTGCTGCTGCCTGCGTAGAGGTTTTAAAGTGTAAGTGGAGAGTTCATGAGACTGCCCTTCGGTGGTAGTGCAGCCTGAAGGGCTGCTGCAGAAGCAGTGTCACTGCTGAAGTAGCTTCAGCAAAGTTTTGTTCCCAATTGCATATACTGCATCCCACCTTTCTTCGGAAACATTAAAGCACATTGGACAACACTAAATAATCATTTATCCTCACAGTATCATTCCAGAGTCTCTGCCTGCTATTATCTGGGTTTTGGGGGATTTTTTGTTTGTTTTTGGTTTTTTGGTTTTTTTTTTTTCTTGCAGAGGAAGAATGAAGCTGTGAGGCCTTTAATAACTTTTTCCCTAAGGTCACTAAGAGCAGCCCCGTGGTGGAGCCAGATATGTAATGCAAAACTTTCCCAGCCCTGTATGTTGGCTGCTCAATCACTGCTGCTCCTGTAGTTTGCCATCTGAACCCTTTATGCAAGAAGACAACTATTTTTGTCCCAATTGTTAAGAAACCATGGTTCACAATATCTGCTCCTTCTCAGGAATGAGAAGATTACTAGGGTCAGCAGTCAGAATAGAGAGTTATCAGCTAGCCTGGGGCTGTGGGAGCTGTGATTAGGATCGTCTGCTATTAACCTCAGGTGCATGCTCTGGATGCAGTGAGAGAAGCTCAACTCAGCTCTGCATTCAGGATCTGTCTGGTGTAAGGATGATGTATGGGAGGCAAGAGATTGAGTTCACTGATTCTACAAGGCTATATGATTTAGGGGAGCTGTAGGGTTGTTTTACTATAATCCAGTCGTGTGATCCCCTGAAGGCTCATATACCACCAAAGGATGATCAGCGCCAAAGAAAGGCTTGTTCTATTCACTCCTTATTTGCACCTTTCCTTCCCCCAGCATAATATCCCCAGTATGGTCACGGAGTGACAACCAGTTCATGAGCCAAATCATCAGCCTTGGGGCTTATAGATTTTTCTCCTCCGAGCAACATTTTTAAGCCAAGGATTTCAGAGTAAACCATACTTTTCAGAAAGTGTGCACTGTTATGTTTTGTTTACAACTTTCTGGAAAAAACCAGTAGGAGGAAAATGAGAGTGCACATGCACACCTTATCATGTGAGGCAAGCAGATACACATAGCTACAACAAAAATTACTGCATGCAGTTGGTGGTGTACTGTCTCACAGGGAGCTTTGGTGTTTACACATTAAGCTGCTCACTTCACACAAAAAGATGATGGGGCAAGAGACCTGTCAGCAGAAAGAGATGCTGGCTGTGTTTTCCTTATGTTCCTTTCAGTGTAAGAATTCCCTAACAGTAGCTGTATTTTGGTTAAAAAAAAAAAAACAAAAAAAAAACAAAAAAAAACCCACTAGCAACAAAGACCCCAAACAAACAAAATAACAACCTCAGCATAAATCACCAAGGTTTTTCTTTCTTTTGAAGACTTAATTTCACCCCTCCACCTCACCTCCCCCCCCAGCTCTTCTTGGCTTTATTTAACCTAAAATAAAAGTCCCTTGAGTTCTTTTGTGAATGAGAAAAAATCCTATCCCCCTGCTGCACAGCAAGTGGCCCTGTTTATTTGTTATGGATGAACAAAAGTTTTGAGGAAAGATTCATGGGAAATGTCTTATTACTGCCACAGACCTATGCCTTGATAAGAAACCCATCAAGATGGTACACCTACAAATGCATAGATAACAGGTGTCCTCTGCTCCCAAACAACCTGCTCCCAAAGAAAACAAGGCATTTTCTCACAATACTGAGATGCGGTGGAGATTTTGAAAGTCCTGCTCAGAGTCTTAATACTCACAGTCAACCCCCCTGCTCAGCAACATTCCCCCACCCCGCCTACACCGTCTGAATGGCCAGACCACACTGCAGCGAGCTTAATTTAGACAAAAGAAAAACAGGGAACAAGGCTTCATAGTCACCTGTCCTTTATCACAGCCAGTACTCAAACATCACAGCTTCCTTTACAGAAATGAAAAGCCCACCTCCAAATTTTTGTTCTGGTATCTGGCACCTTTGAGGAGAGCAGGTTTATCATTCAGCCAACAGATATTCCAGGCAAGTCACTCTCCTGTTGAAAATATTCTACTTTTTATAACTTACGCATAGAAACTCAATGTTCCCACAACTCTCCTGCAAACAAATACACCCAGCAGGACACAAGAGAATTAGATGGGTTTTTTATGTTGTTGTTTTTTGTTTTTTTTTTCTTCTCTCTCTCTCTACCTTCATCCCATCCCTACTCTATTTTAGGCTGAAGACAACAACTTCAGCAGGAAAAACCTTTTTACCTCTAATGTGGCCCACCCGGATCCAGCATCTGTTAGTAGCTAGTCTGAATGGTGATTGAAATAAATAAATAAATAAATAGATATTGCCCAGCTATTGTCTCAAATCATGGGTGGAGATATCCAGCTTGGACACCTACCTCTGTGAGATGTCTCACAGCTGTGAGCAATGGGAGAAAAGCGGTGCCTTCCTCTGCACTTCTGCAAGACTTGAAGCTAATGCTGCCAGTTGGCTAACGCGGCTGCTCCCTGCCCAGTTCCGGGGTTCCCTTCCCCAGAGAGAAGAAGCGGCTGTCCCTGCATAATGCCTGCAGGCTCGCTGCCCACGGGTTGAGACGCCAGGCCCAGCTGAGCTCTGCAGGGCAGCTCTGCCTTCCTCTCATGTGTTGGTAGCCTGGTCATCCCATACTTGCTCCCCTGTACCTCACAGGTGCTGCTTTTCATCTGTGCCTGATGCATTTCAAATCTGATATTAAATGCAATGAAGCCATTTGCCTCTGGCTGTACTGAAGAAATTCATCCTACTACCAGTAACGCCAAATAAGGAAATAAAAGACATTGCTTAGTTTGCACAACCTTTTATTTTCCTCCCTAGAACTATTTTTAGTTAAACAATTTTGTGCCAAAAGAGCTCTGTCTGTGTCCAGAGCTGCCCTGGTCATCGGCACTGTTACCAGGGACTTGAGCTTTATGGCCCTCATAACTGCAGAGGGCGAAAGGTCGAGCCGTGGAGCCTTTGTGTCAGCTCTACATTTCTCTTTAAACACATGTGAGAGACAAAGCTCCCCTGAGACCCCATGGAAACTG